TGGACACAGCGCTCCAGACGCGCCTCACCAGGGCTGAGGAGAGGAGCAGGATCAACGCCCTCGGTCCCCGCTGCCCCTCTGGCAGCCCCGTTTCCGCGCTGTCCCCGCTCACCTCCGTGCCCGCCCCGGCGGTACCTCAGAGCCCCTCAGTCCCCTCGCGCCGCGGTAACTTCCACAGGGGCCCCGCGCCCGGCCCGCGCAGCGCGCGCCACATGGCGCGGCCCCGCCGCCCTCGGCCAATGGCGGGCACCGCTCGCCGCTGGGACGTCACCACATCGCCCGATGTCCGCCCCCACTTGCGGAGCGGTGGGCGGATTGGACAGTGTTCATGGGGGCCAGAGCCGTGTGGCAGCGAGTGACAGCGGGGAGTGGCGGCGGGAGAGCAGCCAATCGCAGCACGGTCTGGCAGGGGCGCTGGCCAATAGGGAGGAGAGAAAGTAGCGGCGGGGCCGGCCAATGGGAAGCGGGGGGCGGCCGCGTCGGGCCGTGCCCGGCAGGGCGGGAGGGGCGGTTCTGAGGTATGGCGACCCCGGGCGCAGGGGGACCGGGGTCGGGATAGGGAACGGGAATGAGAAGGGGATCGGGATTGGGCTCCATTACCAGGGAGAAGCCTTCAGCTTCTCCTAGTAACCAGAGATCACTGAATTCATGGCTAGGCTTCGCGAACGAAGATTTGGGAAGGTCTCTACCCACGTTTGCTACAAGCGCGCTGGTGGCTAAAGAGGCAGGAAAAGACCTCTGAGATCATCGAGTCCAGCCTATGACCCAACATCACCCTGCCGGTCAACCGGACCATGGCACCAAGTGCTATGTCCAGTCTTCCCTTAAACACCTCCAGGGACCTCCCTGGGCATCCCATTCCAGTGTCTAAAGCTTGACCCATTTCTAACATTGAGCCCTACCTGTTGCCTTTTTTCCCATCCATGAAAACCAAAGGACCACTCCAAAGTGCTGGTCCTACAGATGTGGAGATGTTTGTTCAATTTCTGTTCAGCTCTGGGAGTGTTTCAAGCAGCAGCCATAAGCACGGGGCTGTAGAGTCACAGGGTGTGTTGGCACATCTAGTCTTGGATGCTTTTCTTTGCTCCATAGCAGCATCCCTTGAGCCAAAGATTCATGTGTGTCATACAGCTCAGAGCCTGTGGCACTCAGAGTGGGGCAATACAGGCCACTTGTCCCCCCTCCTGCACTGAGAGCTACAGCTTGTGGAAAACAGTTCCTGTGCTAGTCTGAGACTTCCTGACTCATCGAGTTCTTGAGGGGCAGAGAAAGAAACACTCAGTTTCTTTGAAGGAATGGAGCGTAGGCTAGACGTCAAGATGAACTGGTCAGATAGGGGACTTATAGATATGCACAGATAGAGGCAGAGAAACTTCAATAGCAGCCTCTAGAAACTTCACACCACCACAGCTGAGTACCTTCTCAGCAAGACTTTTACTACAAGACTTTTACTTTATTGCCTGTCCACATATTTGGATTTATAACTAGATTCCATAAAAGGCCTAGAAGTGACATTTCACATGCCTTGGGGGCATGGCTCTTTCTGATTGTCTCTCAGCTCAAGTTCCAGTATTTCCATCTGGCTGGTTTGATTTTTCCTGTGAACAGGACAGATGGCCTGTCATTTAGAGATACCATTATCAGCACAAAATGTTCAAATGGACAGTTAATATTTTACAAGGGTGGTATCTTACAGTGTTTCCCAGCGCAGAGCTTCATTAAAGGAGTGTGGAAGTGGTTTAAGTGGAAGCCACTTGAAACCAGACAAGTATCAAAAGTAAAAAAAAAAAAAGTAAGAATGGTCGAGCTGCTGCATTTTCCTTTAACTACACAAAATATAACATCAGAACATTAGTATGAATTAACATTAGTATTAATTTTAATATTTTGCTATTCATCAATATATTACAAATCTAATGTTATCACAAGAACATTAACATAAATATATACTCTCACAAAGGACTGGAATGTACACAGATTACTTTTTATTGACTTTACTTATCATTACTTTACAGATTACTTATTGCTGAGTCACTGTTTGGCATGAAAAAACAGTAACTGGAGACTGAGCTTTGTAGAAATAAAGAGAATATCCTTTACCACATCAATTACTTGCTCATTTGATTGTTCCAGATTAAAAAAAATCTGTAATTTTTTCTTCTATGATTTTCCTAATGTAACCAAACAAGCTACACAAATCCATCAAAAATATAACTACTAAGATGGACATACAAACCAGCATTTCATAGGGAGACAACAGAGTTAACAAGCAGCTTTCTTTTGAGTGAAGCTCTTTTGGAATAGTTACTTCTACCCTGAGAGGCAGAGGTGGGTCTGTACATGAGGAAAAATGGATGTGTGACAGACACCAATGAGCAGGTGTACACAGTGGTGTTCAGGCTACACAGCAGAGGGAAATATAAAAAAAAAAGTCCTTATAGATAATGGAGAAAAAAAAGAGATTCTTATTTTCCTAGTAATAGCTATTGAGAACTTCTGTACAGGCACTTTAGAACCTGACAGTCAGAAACAACTACAGTTTCTGTCTTGCCCAGACAAACAAAGCACTTCACTGCAGCAAGGCTGGTGAGCACCAAGTGACAAGTCCTGGATAATGAGAAGCAAAGAAGGAGACACAAAGGATGACAGAGACAAACCCAAACATTTTCACAAAACAAACAAGGGAGAGACCTCCCAAGCCTTTAACCGAAGACACTTTCAGGATCAGGTGTTTTATGTCACCTGTCTCATCTTTCATCTCGCTCCCCTCCAGACTTGCTCTGTACTTTCAAAGCTCTTTGTGTTGAAAATAAAGCATCCTAATTTCTGTAGTGCACCTCACTGAAACCTCAGAACTTTTACTCCACCGCGCATAAACAGAAGAGTGCCTGAAGTGACATATAAATGCCTTTGAGACTTAATTTACACATCTCCTGAAGTCTGCTGACTATTTTCAAACACCACAAACAAGAGGAAAACTTTCCTGTCACCACTGGGAAGACTTTAATTTCACCTGAAAATCCAATCAGCTGCAAATCAGTGACAGACTTTTGCTGTCTACGAAGATAAAGGGAAATGCAACCTCCATCAAACTGGAGGAGAACATTTTAGTTCTCCTGCAAGTTAAACAAGAAGATGGTGAACCACAGGATGAAGTAAATTCTGAACAAACCTGGTATTTGACCCCTGCCTAGAATGCACAGACTCCTGAAACATGCTTGTCCTCGTTTTTCAGATTTGCCTAGAAATATTAAAGGCTTTTTCCCATACTTCATGTCCAACCTTCTTCTTTTTCATCTTCCTGTTCACTTGCCCTGATATTTAAGACTTCCAGTTCACCCATCTCAGCTATAGAGCTATCCTTTTTCCTCGTCTCCCTGGAGAATTCCTCTCGGAAGTCTGCTCCTGCCTCGGAGTCATAGCTCTCCAGAAAATATTTGTCTAAGTGATCCACTTAGGTGGAGAGCAAACAACAACCTGAATTTTATCTAAAATGGGAGGTAAATACTTCCCGTTCTTAACTAATCTGCTGTTGTTCACTTGAATCTGCTCTCTTAAATGGCCTGGTTCAGGGAATAGGGTTGGCTTCAGCTTGCTCCAGAGAAGACAGATGGCTTTGTAGTAAAAATGTAATACATGTATGCTAAATATATAAGTAGGATGTTGTATTTGCATTTAGGTTTGCTATCTCAAGTGTGATGGAAAGAGTGCTATGATGGACAGTTTCCAAATGTTTTTGTACAGCATAAGGTGAATGAATAACGATATAGGAAATGGCTCTTTTAGGAAGGAGTTATTAGAAGCATTCCTATAGGAAGAAGTAATGCTTGACCTCTTAAATCTTTTTGTTTGTTTGTGTTTCTTACTTTTGGTTTGAACTCTGGATAGGAGGCTTTGTTTTTTCCTGCTACTTTTACAGCTTTGGAAAATGTTAATTTGGGAGATTCAGCTGTTATTCAGAAGTAGGTCTGGAAGGTGATGTCCAGGACAACCTAACTTTTCTCACTCAACTTATTACAATACTTATTACAAAGGCTTTTTGCTGTTGAAGAGATGCTGACTGGTACTGACCCCCCGTTTCCCCAGGCTCCTGTATTCCTATCTTTGTCTCTTTTTTTAAAACAGGTAATTTGTGAAAAGCAGTCTTTTGTTCTGCTCTTTCTCCTGTACATTACACAGTGCCTGCTACTCTTGCACTGCCACAACAAAACCAAACCAGTAGCAGAGCTGGAGTGACAACAGGCCACTCCTTGTTCTTTTCTCATTGAAAAAGCAAAGGCATCTGTACAGATGTAGGATACTTCCAGGCTATTTGGGATTTCCTGTTAATTTTCAGGTGAAGCACCCTCTGCCAAGGATAAAGTTATTTAAACCCCTGTCTTTGTTTATTTTAGTATTTTACATTTCTTCAGGAAAAAAATGGTCATCTCTGTATTATGCCCAGCTGCTAGAGAGAGAGCTGCTCCAGAGGACAAAAAATTTGCCAAATGTTTTCCCAGGGAAATCTCAAACATGGGTCCTTGTGCTCTCACTGGACAGTTTTTCCCTTCACAGTTACAGCTAAAGCTGTTATGGTACAGTAGTGTTATATTAGGGCAAAGTAATTTTAGTAGGGATAATAAGGCTTGAAAAATATTTAGTTAGGAACTGAACAGCTGAGGACTTGAGTTGTGCCTTGGCTGAGATGGCTGAGCCACTGCAACTGCACCATCTGGAGAAAGAATTCAAAGCATCAAACGGTGGCATTTGGTCAGGCTGTGTTCAGGCTTCCTCCAGGCAACTCTGTTCTACCTCTTGTCCCTTTTCTTTTGCCTGTTCAGTCTCCCTTCTTTTCCACTCCTTAAAGCCATTTAGCTATTCATTTTGCTCCCTTTTGGTGGCTTTGAAGAAGCGAATAGGATACAATTATGGGAAGTGCTCAACCAGTTAGGCTGGTTATCTTGGAGAATGACCTCCAGTAATGAAAAATAAGCTAGTAAATAGGTAAATCACTATTTCTGTCGGTGTTTAATACAGTTTTAATTAAGACATGACTGCACAGAAGTGGATAGAAAGGAAAAAGAAGACAAAAAAGAACTGCTGGCAGACTTGTAGCTGGGAAGTACATGAAAAGAAAATTTAATATTTCCAGCCCTCACTGAGGCACATGTTCTTCTGGCCTTTTCACAGACCTCTTCTGAGGCAGCTAGATAATCTGCAGGAAGAGGAAAAATAATTAGGCAAAGGCCTCTTTTGACTTTCACTATCTGCTACGTTGAATAAGAATTTTAGGTGAAGGTTTTTTCTAAGTGTTAATCAGCAGAGGAATTAATCACATTTCAATTATGTGTTGTAGGCTTCAGAGCGAACAGCCTACTTGCAAATCATGGCTAGCTTTGATACACTGCTTCTGTCGTACCGTCTGCAGACACAGTGAAGACCAAAAGCAGTATTTCCCAGCCATTCTCTATTAAAAAATATGGAATTCCAGTGGTGTTTCACGGAAGTTTTACCCCCCAGTGTTACTGGATATACTAAAACAGTGTTAACAGTAAACAGTAAATCACAGAATCAACTAGGTTGGAAAAGACCGCTGAGATCATCAAGTCCAACCTATGAACCAACACCACCTTGTCAACTAGACCATGACACTGAGTGCCACATCCAGCCTCTTCTTAAACACCTCCAGGGACGGTGACTCCACTACCTCCCTGGGCAGCCCATTCCAATGTCTAGAGAAATTCTTCCGAATATCCAACCTGAACCTCCCCTGGCGCAGCTTAATACCGTGCTCTCTTGCCCTGTCGCTGGTTGCCTGGGAGAAGAGAGCGACCCCCGCCTGGCTACACCCTCCTTTCAGGGAGTTGTAGAGCGTAACACAGCGTTACCCCCGAGAGGCGACAGTCGGGATGAAACACAACTGCGCTGTTTGAACACCAGCACTGAGCTGACCCCGGGCTGACCTGGGGCAGAAGGATGAGCCGCGGGGCGGCGGCGGGGCAGCTCCTGCCCGCTTCCATTGCCGATCCCGCGGGCTGCTCCCCCAGCGGGTGGCTCTCCCGGGCCGGTGCCATTCCCATCCCGGGAGGCTCCCCCAGCCCTGCCCGTCGCCATCGCGGCCCGGAGCGGGGGCCGCGCCGCTTCCGCCGGATGTCGCTTGAGGGCTCCGCACCGGGGAGGCGCGTGTCCTGCCCGAGCGGCGTCGGGGATCGTGCTGTTGCTGCTGCTGGCCGCGCTGCTGCTGCCCTCCCGCCCTTCTCCTCCTCCTCACCGTCCTCATCCTCCCCTCCTCCTGCTCCGCGCCACCCGCGGCCCTGCCCTCCGCGCCGCCGTGTCTGACCCGGCCGTGTCTGACAGGTGAGTGCGGGGGGCAGCGGGGCGCGGACCCTCCGCCATCTTCGCGGCCGCCCGAGGCGCCGAGGGGGCCCGGGGTCCGGGCGCGTCCGGGGGCAGCGGCGGTGCCTCCCCGGCGGTACCTGCGCGGTGCCGCTGCCGCCGCCAGGCCCGCGGGGCTGCCCCCGCCGAGCACCCCCTGCCAGCCCGCCCCGCTCCGCTTCGGTCCCACGTGAAATGGCTCGCACTGTATTCCTTGAACACCGAAATAACCGAAATCGAGCCCTTCCTCTTCTGCTCCCGGGTGTCGGGGTGTTTTAGCGCTCCCAGCCCAAGGCTGTAGGGATGGTTCCAGGTCTGCGGACGGCGGAGCCGAGAGTGGTGCTGAGGAGACTCGGCTCGCTAACTTTGTTCGTGTGCTGCTGCATATCCTAAGGACAAGCCCAGCGTAGTGCCTCGTTATCTTACAGATTGAGTTCAGAGCATCTGACACATGTACAGATGGAGTAAAGATGAAACGCCCAAATTCCCTGAAGTGGGGCACAGCTGAATGAGGAAGGGAAGCACCGTTTGTGGTGGGATGGGGTGGATCTGGCCTCCAGCAGTGGGAGAATGACCTAGCACTGTCCAAGATGGGTAAAAGTTGTCTGTAAAGAGCCATTTTCAGTATTTCTCTCTTTTTCTCAGCTAAGACCTATGAAAACAAGTTTGAGGGAAGAATTGATATGCTTAATGTATTCAAAGCTTGAGTAGACTTTAGGTTCCAGTTCCTTATGCAAAGACGAGGAAAACTTTTTCAAGTTAAGTGTTGATCTGTGATTCAAGGACATCTTGGTGTTTTTAAGAAAAGAGAAACTTCTACATGTGCTTTTATCCCTCTTGGTACATCTACCAGCCTGTCAAATTTGTTTTGTTTTTGTAGCTTAAAGTGGGCTTGCTGTAACAGTAATTTCATGGAAGGTTTACTTAAAGAACTGGTGGAACAGCTTCTTTGAAGTGATTCAGTGTCATTGAGTGCACCTTGAAATTATACAAATGTCAATTGTTCAGGCATTTTACAACATCACAGCAATATTTTCTCCTTAAGTAAATTTCTGAAACTGTTTTCCAAGCAAGCTTGCTGTTGGGGTTTCTTGATGGTTTTGAAAACGAGTTGGTAACCCCTAGAACCCACAAGTATGTTTTCTAATGAGTAGTTTGGCTTAGATAAGATCTTTGTGCATGGTGTCAACTCTAACCTGTCTGGTAATAACTTTAAATGTAGCTTTATGTATTGTGGACTTGGGCAATTATTTTATGAAAAGGTGCCTGCACCAAACATTATAACTTAAGGCAGAGGCCACTGTAATGTTGTTTGTTTTTTAATGCCAGTTGTTTATGTGTATGTTTGTCCCTAAATTAGGTTTATCATGTTAAATCTAAAGATTCTAAGATGAGACTGTCTCTTCAATGTAGACAGGCCCTTCCACCATCTATTTCTCAAATTTAGGATTTATTTAAAGGATGCAGTCTTTAGTATGGACTGAGACACTTAAGTTTATTGGTACAGTCATGAGATAAATACTGTGAGTGTGGTGATAATGTCTTACAAGAAGAGCTTATTTTTATGAAATCCTGAAATTGCAAGCCAGAACTAGTGCATGCCAGGTAAGGAGTAATGAAGTGATATTGCATTTTATAAGTTCGAGGTGAGATTGGAATCATTTTATGTCATGGAATTTTAAGTCTTGGAGCTAAGACCAGTAGCTTGTCTTGTGAGGTGAAGGCCAGGGTGAGGGGCTTCTTCTGGAGACTACCTTTTCACACCTCTCTGGGGAGAGTTTATTGGTACTCTCTGCCTGACCACTGAGGAATGGATAAGAATAAGGATGGTCTCCTTGCAAGCCGGAGTGATTTGTGTTTTCTCATCCTCAAGTAATACACACAGGCTATTTTTAGGCTGTCTTAGTGTTTCAAGAGGGTAGGACTGGGTACTCACAATGCTGTCACACAGACTGTTGGAAGGTTCTGTAGTTCTCTGTGCTAGGCCATATGAGGTAATGCTTCAAGAATGTGCTGTACAGAGATTATTTATTGGTGCTTCAGAACAGCTAAATGTGTTATAGTTAAAGTTACTTGGCTTTTGTTGAAGTCTTAAGCACTATAAGATTCTAATTTACTGGCAAGTAATATATTTCCAAATGAAGAGCAAAGATATTAGAGGTCACTCTGCCTCAGTAAAACTATAATAGCAATTTATCTGGTACATCTCTAATAAGTACATAAATGTTGAGTGTTTAGAGACTAGCACAATAAGATTCTGGCCTCTGTGTGTAGTGCTGTGGTTCCTTAAATAAATACCTGGTTAAACCACCTTTCCTCTTGAACTTAAGATTCCTCACCCTCAGGTCTTGTATTTGCATACCCGTGTATGCATGTAGGCTACTTCTAGGCTGTTGGGGATTTGGTAATACATAAATGGGTGTTGAAATGGCTGTGAAACAGGTAAGGAAATAGAGTAGCCTTCAAACATATTTTAGGATTTAACCAGTAATTTAGCAGGATGCAATGCTGTCTGTTGAACTCTTCAATAAAGTCAGTGAGTTAATACCTATAAATAAAAAAGGCAGGATATATACTCATAGGTAACTAATGAGTGTTGAATAAGATTATATCATACCCTGTACCATTTAAAGTATTTGAAACAGTGAGCACCCTCAGTGAGCATCATGGCACAGGTCTCAAAGGGAAGCTTTCAGGACATCAGCAATTTCACTGAATAGGTCTTAGTCTGATGATAATTAGTGGACTCAGGAAAATTTTTTCTGTATTCTAAAAAAAAGAAATAAAAATGCAAGTTTGATAGTTATAGTTGTCTAATACTAGTTAATATAAGCTTGTATGGTGAGAGTACCATTTCTTACTTTAGTTGACTGTATGGCAGGCTAGGTCTGCATTTTGGTGTGATTGCAGCATTTGCTGACATAGTTGAATTAGCAAGATCAAAGCTTGCTAGCAGCAAAACTGGGCTGGCTTACATGTTGATGTTGGTGTTAGAAGCTTTCTTAGGGTAGTTACTTACTAATGTGTTAAAGCTTTTATTGTTGATTTCAGCTGTATAAAGTACTTACAATTCATTGGTTCAGCTTCTTTACTCTGTTTTCTGTTGAAAGGAGGTTGTCATCTTCAGTGGTGGATGTTTGCTTTCCCCTTTTACATTTCGAGGAACCTCCAGTTTCATTTGAAAGAATGCTGCACTAAATTTAGAAAAAAAATCAATAATGTAAAGCTTGAGTGGATTCCACAAGGTTTGAGTACACTCATTAGTGGTTCCAGCATCATCTGTGATGATCTGGAATGGTTTTGTTTTCTAAATATTTACCTTTAGCCAAACAACTAGTTTTACAAAGCAGTCTGTTTTGCTTGATTTTTCTCAGGTGTGCTGTATTCTTGGGGATTGCATTGAATTAATGGCACTTGAATGTGCAGCATCACTGAAGGAAATTGTTCACTGAAGACTACAAAACGGAAGTTTTACTCCTTTAAATTTGGTTTCTTTGCATATTAATAAAGATTGTAGTGGCATATGTTGATACTTAAATTCCCTTAACTCATGAATAATGCTGTCAAACTGAGTTACATGTAATTAGGAACTTAATAACCGTAATCATTCTCCTCTTTCTCCTTTCCCTCCCCACTTTCTGGAAAAAACCCCAAACCAACCACCATGCCCGATGTTAATGGGCATCTTTGTATCATAAGGTTTTAATGCTGCACTAGACAATAATTACTATTGCAAAAATGCCTTTGTGTTTTATGTAGTAAACAGTGAAATTTTCTTCTGAGCCATGTTTGAAAATGAGAGACATGAGACTAAGAGATTTAAAAGCACACAGATAACAATAAAATTGTATATTTTTTTTTTAAATTTGACACAATCGTTTAAATAGTAAGTATTACTATTTCTAAACTCTAAACAAAATGGAGTGGGGAGATCTAGGGTAAGATGTTGCTGAAACTTCCTGATGCTTTCCCTTTACAGACTTGTGTGTTGTCTTGAATGAACAAAAAAGGAAATGCAATGCTGTGGCTGTTATGTCTGTGCTCTGACACATCTTAAAACATATTTTCTCCCTGGCTTCAGCAACATGCATACCCCAGGAATTCTTTCCTTTCAGCAGTTTGCCTGTTCTGTGTTCAAGAGCAGAAGTAAGCAAGTAGAATTAGGTGATTCCTGCAGTAAATTTTTAAGTCTGGTAAGGCCACTTTTCGTTAGTGCCGTTTCTCTGTCGTAGCTGACTAAAACAGTAATTGGATACACATCTGCTCTTAGCTGTTGTTACTCTGAAGTATTTCCTGTGACTGAATACATGGTAACATCTGTTACAGAAAGGTAGGTGGCAGAACTTTAATGTAACACACTGTAACATATCTTGTGAGTTTAATTGAACAGCATGTTTAAAATACTGAAATATCTTTGCATTCATTAAGTAGTAATCACCTGTGGTCTAGATGTTTTCCAGGACATCTTTTTCTCCCCTACTTGTGCTGATTGACTTTATCAGAAGGGTTCTCTCCAGACTTTGGCAGATCATTGTGTGAGGAACACTATGCAAACGTAGCATTTTCCAAAATGAT